TTCTTCAGTCGTGGTTAATGCCCAGGTCTTGGTGCTGTAAGGATTCTGCTGTCAAGTATGTGCTGGTAGTTACCTACTAGAAATGTAATAAGTCCTCTAATAAGTAGGTACGGTTGTGTTAGGAAGATTTAGTGAGAGGAGATTTATAGGCTCTACTTTTACATTGAGAAGTAGGATTTTGTATTTTCTGTAAGCAGTTTCAGGCTTGCTCTTGCAGTTCCTGGTGTGCACCTGGTTTTGATGAGCAAATATAACAGAAATTCATATAACCTTGCCCAGTTTATTCCTCATGGACACCCTAGCAAGATCTATCAGTGGGTTCTGCAGTTGTGCTTGGTACATGCACTTGAAATCATTTTCAGGTGTATTTTGAACAGTGACAAAGGGGCATCTCACCAGAAATGCATGCTGTGGCAAACAGCTGGAACCTCTCAAGGCAACTGCAAGGAGTTACTCTTATTTCAATGAATTTCGACCCAGTAATGACTAAGACGACTTCAAAACCCCTGGCTTTTTCTTTTACACCGAGGGGTTTGTAACTGACTACTGAACAAGAGGCACAGCCACCGTTCAGTGAAGTGAAAGGATGCCTTCTGCTGATTTCAGGAACTTTATATGGGGCCTGGGAAGAGGCAGGGCCAGAGCAAAGACACAGACCTCGAGTGCACCATTGGCCGCTGCTGTGTCTGTGTGAGTTATAAATACATGTTAGTTTTCCTCTTCTTATGTTTTAGATACTCTGATGCGATTTTGGTTTGAAGCTGTGATTCCAACACTTAAGTATCACTGGGACTATACTGTTTCTTTATGGATCGAGTAACTCTTCTCATGCTTTTATTAAAATACTTATTTAAGGTAAGAAAAATACTCCCTTTTTTGAAGGTGGATAGATACTCGAATGTTAAAAATTTGATCGTTTGTGATTTGGACTGCTGCTTTGTCATTCTAGCAGTCACAGGGAGCTCTCAGTTATTGCTACAGAGCATTCTCTGTCTTAATTGTTGGAAGCTCTTAAGAGCCTGAATCTGCCTTATTGCTTGCTGCTTCTGGTTTGATGTTGTCCCCTGGAAGATGTAAGAAATCCCAGCATCTTAAAGTCCTAAGCTAGCTCGTATCACCGCAGGCATGCATGGTGATGGTGGAAATACAGGGTCAGTCTGGGAGCCAGGGGTGTACTCCGGCCATACCTTTAGGAAGTGTGCTTCTGTAAGAAGCATTTTATTTTCTGATAAAAATCTGCCATTTTGAGGTTAGCCCTTTAGGTTTAATTTGGCTGTTATTGAAAGAACCACATACATAGGAACCACATGTATCTTTCTGCTTATTTTTCCCGTATCTGTCTATATTTAGTTTTTGTATGTGTATTCTTTTTTTTTTTTTTTTTTTTTTTTTTTTTATATATGTAACTTAATGTGCTTTGCAGCAAAGGTGGCTTAAAAGCTCTGTCAGTTACTGGTACAAATACTAGTTCCTTCTTTTGGAGAAGAGAGCCACAGATTTTGGATGGTGAAAATGCTGCTATGGTACCCAGCCTCCTGGTGTATTCCTGAACAATATCGAGATACCATCTGGTTGCACTAACCAATTTAGAGCTTCAGAATAAGTGCTTTTTGTGGAAGCCACCACGCAGCAGTCTGTGATCTGCCTTAGTCAGGGAAGTTTCCTGACAGTTGCAGAGTAGTAGAGAGTGCCTGGCTCTTAAGGATGGTGTAATGGGGTGAAGTATCATACCTCCAGCAGTGGCAGAAAGCAGATCCTTGGGGAGGACTGTAAGAACAGTGTAAGATGAGAATTACGTATACTGTTTTAGGTTCTCACCATTTGCAGCTGAAGGACTTCTTGAGATGGATGTAGTTGCAGTGCATTTTGTGAGCTTGTGTAGTTCTCTTCTGTGAAGTGGTCTGGCCTTTTCTGAAGCCCAGTGAAACTCTTAATGGGCTCATTTTAAGCTTTCCCTGATAAACTGTTTGTTTTGTGAAAAACTGCCTCTTTTTGTTTGCTTTGAATTGGAGCATACTGGCTACATTTCATCCTCCTCAATTCTTGAAGAGAAAATGAAAAAATCAACTCACTTCTGGCTACTAAAGATTTTATAGACCTCTTGTATTTTCCCTCAAGTATCTCTTCTTCAGTCTGAGAAGCCTGCTGGAGTCATATGTTGAGAAGTAATTGATAGCAGAAGTCAGTGTTTGTTGTTCAGTTCTCCCAGCTAGGTGTGTAAGTAACCTGCAGATAGATTTGAACCTTAGGTCTTTGTAGTCAGATGTTTGTTTATCCATGTATGTATGTATGTATGTATGTATGTATGTATTTATTTAAATTAGCTGCAGTCTTTGGATAAGGTACCGACAAGGTGCTGGCAACGAAAAGGGGCATTCTAAATCCCTCTCTGAGTATGGTAAATTTTCTGTGTACACTTGCAGATTTTAGTTTTAGGAGTATGTATTTATGTAGAGTAAAATGGCATATAATACTGTCCTGGGTTCAGCTACAGCAGTCATTTTTTCTCCTTCTTAGTAGCTGGTGCAGTGCTGTGTTTTTGGCTTTCAGTCTGGGAACAATGCTGATAACACCGATGTTTTTAGTTGTTGCTAAGTAATGTTTACTCTGACCAAGGACTTTCTCAGTCTCATGCTCTGCCAGGGAGGAGGGGAAGCCAGGAGGAAGCAGAGACAGGACACCTGACCCAAACTGGCCAAAGGGCTATTCCATACCACAGCACGTCATGCCCAGTATAGAAACTGGGGGGAGTTACCCGGAAGGCCCAGATCACTGCTCGGGTCGGGCTGGGTATCGGTCGGCGGGTGGTGAGCGGTTGTGTCCTTTTCCCTTGTTATTCCTCTTATCATTATTATTGGTAGCAGTAGTGGTTTTTATTATACCTTCGTTTATTGTGGGA